GGTAAACTCTCTTTTTTTTCCTGAGTCCCAGCAAGAGCTCCCCGTTCAGCCAGGCCGGTCGTCTTCCCCGCCCATTCTTCTTACGGCGTACAGGGATAGCCTGCTCCTGCGCCTTTAAGACTTCCTTCTTGAAGATCGTCCAGCCTTCCTGGACCCCTTTGCCCTTCAGGACCGTCTCCCACGGGACTCTCTCAACCAGCGTCCTGAACAGGCCAAAGTCTGCCCTCCGGAAGTCCATGGTTGTGGTTTTGCTGCCCCCCCTCCTTACTTCACCAAGAAGTGAGAATTCTATCATTTCGTGGTCACTAAGCCCAAGACGGCCTCCGACCACCACATCTCCCACCAGTCCTTCTCTGTTTGTAAACAGCAGGTTCATTTCGTGGTCACAAAGCCCAAGACGGCCTCCGACCACCACATCTCCCACCAGTCCTTCTCTGTTTGTAAACAGCAGGTCGAGCGAGGCACCTCCCCTGGTAGGCTCACTTACCAGCTGTGTCAGGAAGTTGTCTTCCACACACTCCGTCTTGTGAACAAGTCTTGCAGAGGGATCTAGATAGATTGGAGCATTGGGCAATCATCAATGGCATGAAATTTAACAAGACCAAATGCCAGATTCTGCATCTGGGATGGAGTAAGGCCAGGCACAAATATAAATTGTGAGAGGAGTGGCTGGAGAGCAGCCCTGCAGAAAGGGATCTGGGGGTGCTGGTCGGCAGCAGGCTCAACAGCCATCAGCAGTATGCCCTGGCAACCAAGAGGGCAAACCGCGTCCTGGGGTGCATCAAACACAGCATAACCAGCTGGTCGAGAGAGGTGATTATCCCGCTGTATTTAGCATTGGTGTGGCCTCACCTTGAACACTTTGTTCAGTGCTGGGCCCCACCATTTAAAAAGGATGCTAAGGTCCTCGAATGTGTCCAGAGGAGGGCAACAAAGTTGGTGACTTTGTTGGGCTGGAAGGCATGACCCTATGAGGAGCGGCTGAGGACTCTGGGTTTGTCTAGTTGGGAGAAAAGGAGGCTGAGGAGCGACCTCATTGCTCTACAGCTTCCTGAGGAGGGGATGTGAAGGAGGTGCTGATCTCTTCTCCCTGGGATCCAGTGATAGGACTTGTGGAAATGGTTTAAAGCTGCATCAGGGGAGGTTCAGACTTGACATTAGGAAACATTTCTTTACCAAGAGGGTGGTCAAACCCTGGAAGAGGCTTCCTGGAGAGGCGGTCAATGCCCCAAGCCTCTCAGTGTTTAAGAGACATTTGTACAATGCTCTTAATAATACGCTTTAACTTTTGGTCAGCCCTGAAATGGTCAGGCAGTTGGACTAGATGATCGTTGTAGGTCCCTTCCAACTGAACTATTCTACTCTACTCTATTCTATTCTAAGCCCTGTATATCTTGCCCTTGTGTCAAATAGAAATGAATACTCTAGGAGCTTTTCTTGCTTCACTTGACTCATTCAGAAAGGAAGTTATCATAGAATCATAGAATCATTAAGGTTGGAAAAGACCTCCAAGATCATCGAGTCCAACCGTCAACCCAATATCACCATGCCCACTAAACCATGTCCCTAAGTGCCTCATCTACTCGTCTTTTAAATACCTCCAGGGATGGGGACTCCACCACTTCCCTGGCCAGCCTGTTCCAATGTTGAACCACTCTTTCAGTAAAGAAATTTTTCCTTACATCCAATCTAAACCTCCCCTGCCGCAACTTGAGGCCATTTCCTCTTGTCCTATTGCTATTTACTTGGGAGAAGAGACCAACACCCACCTCGCCACAACCTCCTTTCAGGTAGTTGTAGAGAGCGATGAGGTCTCCCCTCAGCCTCCTTTTCTGCAGGCTAAACACCCCCAGTTCCCTCAGCCGATCCTCATAAGACTTGTTCTCCAGACCCCTCACCAGCCTCATTGCCCTTCTCTGGACACGCTCCAGCACCCTAATGTCCTTCTTGTAGTGAGGGGCCCAAAACAGAACACAGTATTCGAGGTGCGGCCTCACCAGTGCCGAGTACAGGGGCACGATCACTTCCCTACTCCTACTGGCCACACTATTTCTGATACAGGCCAGTTATTGTGGTTTGACATGTTTATCTAGTATCAAACTAGTGTGATTCATGCTACTCATTCCAAAACTGTGCACTTACCACCAGTAAGCAATGCACCAAAGAGTTTGATCTGTAAGTGCTTCGGATTCTTTAACTACATGCTTTCCATCTTCCTAGTTCAAGCTGGGTGGGTTGGTTTTTTTTTTAGTCCTGGAAGAGCTTTCATGTATGTATGTATATATGTGTGTGTGTATGACTGTGTTTATATATATTTTTAATTGTGCTGTAAAGTACTGAGTCAAATTTCATAACAAGTTCTGTAAGCAGTAGCTTGCTTGCTTTGGATCTCACTGTAATTGTCAAGTCCAGGGGCTTCAGCCTTTTAACTTTTTTTTACTTTTATGGCAGAATGATTTTTTGGAAGAGGTGAAAATGGAGACCACAATCTGGTTTTGCACACTAAGAAATATAATTGTGTGCCATCAAGCGCTACTCATGGAGTCAGCAATTGGTATCCTGGGTATACGCCTTGTCAGCGTCCCAGAGCCCAGGCAGCATGCAAGGGAGCTGCAGCGCACTAGGGCAGGTTTTGGTACTCATGACTTGAGCAGAGTTGGGGGCTGGGACACAGGAAGTGAAGATAGCTGAAGTTAAAACAGGAACTCGGGGCACACAGCACTCCAAAAGCTGTCACTAGCAACAGGTGCCTGAGCAAAAAGCAGCAAATTTGCCAGCAGGAGCTGGTGAGCCTTTTAAGGTAAGAAAGCTGAGTGGATTTTGAGAGTGGAAAGTGAGAAACAACAACGAAAAAAATGTAGGGGTTTGGTGGGCAAAGAGAACTCCTTCCTGACCCAGCATGTGTGAGACGATAGTACTCAGCATTTGCTTCTCAGTCTGTTCTTTGGTTATCATTGTTGGTCTTGTGTTTGAGGCTCTAAAGAGCCACATTTCCAGCATGACTGTGCTAAGTGTGGTAGCCCTATATTTGTGCTGTAGTGGATGCTTTTGAGGAGAAAAATGGGACAAACTAAAGGGTTGAGATGCTACTTGGCTGATATTCCTCAATATAGAGGGTGTCTGGAGCCTTGTGGTGTGATTACAGTCTGTGGTTTGTCATGGTTCCCAAGATGCATGGTGGGTGGCTTTGCAGAGTAGGTGGTCAAGAACCATTACAGCAGGATTTAAAATATTTGAGCTAGCTGCTCAAATCAGCTGCCCTGTTGAACAGCCCTGTGCTAGCTCATTGTTGCTGCTGTTTTATCGTTAACAAAAATGAACCACAAACTTTAAAAATCTTTGGAGTGGGAGATGCTAATAAATTAGGGAAGGGAAAAGGAGGTGAAAGGTATTGTTAGATTGTGCTATATTGTCCACATGAGCCTTCCTGCTTCCCCTGCTTCTATTTGTAATTAGTATCTTCATTTTGTCATAAGATTACCGTCAGTGCATACAAGCACAGCGGAGTATGTTACAGACCTGCTGTGTTCTGGAGTATGACAACTTCCCCCCCCCCCCCCCCCCCACCCCCGCC